AACGGAGGTGCAGCTGACATGTTCAGCTGTAGCGAGAGGAGTGTGTGTGCCAATAATTATGTACTTTGTCTCTAACTTGGTAGGTATTTCAGCAGAATGAGGGAAAAGCCACTTACTGTACATAACTACCTGAATTGCTCCTGGCTATTGTACAAAACTGAAAGAGTCCCAACACACCACCACACAAGTAAACACACAGATCAACTTTTAGAGGCGCTCCACTCAAGCATCCAGAGCTATTACAGACAATGAATGTAGCGACCAAGTAGCCGGTTTTGGGGAAATGAGCGGAATAGACCATAGCGCTGTCAGTAAAGTCATTATCTGCACTTAAGGTCAGTGTAGACCCATCCTACACACGCACGCACACATGCACACAACAAAACTTAAAAATGTCTTTTCTCTCTGCGAATGACGGCACCATCTCTAGCGGCCTCATTACCAATATCATAAATACATAGCCCGGGACCCTGATTTGTTCAATAATTCAGCTGCTGCTTCTCTTCTCCCTCAGACTGCAGCCGCCAAAGGCAAGTCTGGAGGATGGTGTTATTACAGAGCAGAGAACACAAATCCTGTGTGTGCCAGTAATAGGCAATTGGATGAATACATCACTGCTAGACTAAACCCACTGCCAGTAGAAATTCCCTTGATTATTGTATTTTTTCCATATATTAGCTGGATATTTGTCAAGTTAAAAGGTCAGGGTAGTGCTTCATATTCACGGATTTGCTCATAGATTGCCTAGATATTTTGTATTTTTTAAATACAACTTAAAGCTACATTAATTAGTTTTTCGGTTGGTTGTTCTGGCTAACATAAGGGACAGCTCAGGTTGTTTGGGGACAAGGTCAAAGAGGCCAGACTGAGATGGTTTGGACATGTGCAGAGGAGGGATAGTGGTTATACTGGTAGAAGGATGTTGGAGATGGTGCTGCCAGGCAAGAGGTCAAGAGGAAGGCCAAAGAGGAGATATATGGATGTGCTAAAAGAGGACATGAAGTTAGTTGGGGTGAGAGTAGAGGATGCCGAGGATATAGTTAGGTGGAAACAGATGATTCGCTGTGGTGACCCCTAATGGGAACAGCTGAAAGAAGAAGTAGTAGTAGTAGTAGTTATGGCTAACATATTAGAAAACACTTCCTTAATGACACACCAACAGATGCTGAGCAACTCTATCATCCCCTTGTAATGACGTCGATGAACATGCTGAGACTAAACCATACAGTAAATGTATTGTGAAGTCACAACTCACTGGTAGCTTCCAGCGTTTGGCTCCCTGAAAGGCCGACACTGTCTGCAGTTGGTCGGCTG